GATTCTTGAGGGGAAATGTAACATGTGGCTTGGCAGTGTACTGGCACTGTGCAGACACACTCTACAGCTGTCTCTTGCACTTATAGGTAGTCATTTTGCAACTGCTCCTACATACAAAATCATCACATGTGTGTGTGCATACAGGGCTGTCAAGTGGCAGCTGATTAATGGTGACCCCATAGGGTTTTCAAGACAAGAAACTAACAGAGGTGGTTTGCTATTGCCTTCCTTTGCATAGTGAACCCGGCATACCTTAGGGAAAACTTAAAAGACAGACTTGGAAGAGATCAGTAAAATACGCACACTTCTTCTTGCAACTTTCCACATTGCCCAAAGACCCTTACTTTAGGACCCTCGTTTCAGGCAATTTTGAATGCATGATGCCATTTCATCAGTCTGAAAGCCTTAGACTTTCAGGACAAGTTTCCTGATCTCTAATGACAAACAGAATTGATTCCTACGATGTCCTTCTTTACAGCACCCACATCACTTGTGTAATTGGGGTTCTTGACTTTTTTGGGATCAGACTCCCTTGCATACCCCAACCACAGATCTGGACACTGCTGGGATTGAGAAAGTACTCAGTTGTAGTCTAAAAAGCATTGCTGCCACCATCTGGATATTCCAAAGTATTACAAGTACCTAGAATAGGAAAAGGGGATTCTTGTCCTCTGTCTTGGCCGAGGGCCGAACATAAACAATGGACAAGCGGAACTTCCTGTGAAGATGAAGATTTGACAGTTATCACAACACTCCCATTTATTGAACAAAATAATTCAGTTTTATGGGTGTGGTGGAGGACAGTGTTCCCTCTAAGCTGAGTTGGTGTGAGCTAGCTCACAGTTTTTTAGCCTCCGGCCCACACATTTTTGTCTTAGCTCAGGAAGGATGGCTCCAGAGCAAACTCATTTATGCAGTAGCCAAATCGCTCACTCACAACTTTAATGCCAGTAGCTCACAAAGCAGAATTTTTGCTCACAAGACTCCACAGCTTAGAGGGAGCATCGGTAAATTGTTTCAGCTGATTTGGATGTGTTCTTTTTAATTCTGTTTTTAATCTTTTGTGTGATATTATTTATATACATTTTGTAATTCTGTGAATTTATTTTTTTTGGGGCTTTCTGTGTGCGCGCGCCTGGAAGTCATGGTTGACTTCTGTCAACCCCTCCTGGGGCTTTGGCGTTCAGAGAGGCGACTTGCTATTGCCTGCCCCTGTGTCGTGGCCCTGGTATTCCTTGGAGGTCTCCCTTCCAAGTACTTGCCAGGGTCTGGCCTGCTTAGCTTCTGAGATCTGATGAGATTGGGCTTGCCTGGGCTATCCAGGTCAGGGCTTTCTGTGCAATTTTAAACCTGCAAATTGCATTTTTGTAAGTTTTGTGCATTTCTTGAAAAATCTTGTTGATTGGACTGATGTTTTGTCTCCTTGAGATGTGGTGTTAACATTGTTAGCCACTTTGAATGTTTTAACTTGCCATGTCTTGCTAGTTATGTGTAACAAAAACACAAACACCTAGAGCGGCGTAATATGACACAACATGCCCTCTCCAAATCAAGCATTCAAGAGGTTATAGTCGCTGAAAATGACATTAAGAGAACTGATTCTCAGGGAGCTTGCTGAGTTAGGCCTTGATCTCACAGCCCATCACACTGACAAACACAACTCTGGCACCACTCCCAGGACATTCTACAGGCACAGCATGTTGTTCTGACATTGCAAAGAACTTTCACCTAAAAACCAGAGAAAGTATTATGGGGCAGAGCTCACTGAACAAAGAATCACTCATCATAAACCACTTAACATGTGATCACAATACAGCTTAGTATGCTGGCCCAATAAGGACTGTAACTGGTTCTAATGAAATATCAACTGCAACGCAGCACAAGACATGAAATTGCATTAGTCACCTTGTCAGCCAGCTGCTATTTTAGGTTTCTATAGAAGAAGAAGAAGAAGAAGTAGTGATTGGATTTATACCCCGCCCTTCACTTGGAGTCTCAGAGCAGCTTACAAACTCCTTCCCCTTCCCCTCCCCACAACAGACACCCTGTGAGGTGGGTGGGGCTGAGAGAACTCTGACACAATCTGCTGTTTTTCAAGGACAGCTGTGCCAGAGCTTGTGACTGACCCAAGGTCACATCAGCAGGTGCAAGTGGAGGAGTGGGGAATCAAACCCGGTTCTCCCAGATTAGAGTCCGCACACTTAACCACTACACCAAACTGGCTCATGTTAACCCTGTATTTGGGTAGAGTATCACCTTTATGGAACAAGAGAAGGGCAAGCTGAGGACAACAGAAGTTGTCAAGGGCCAATGAGTTGGCATTATTGCTACAGGTGTGTCACATACCTCTTCTGAAAAGGCCCATCCTAGAGCCTAGACAGTTAAATGAGGCTTAAAAGAAGCATTGCCTTTTATAGGCCAGGCTCCACCCCACATTACTGTCTACCTAATCAGGACCACTGGTTGTATACAAGTAATGCATGGTCACACATGTATACACAGAATACCTGCATGCAACCAGTGTACTCACACTTCTGCTGCAGGAGTCTGCATGTGATCAAGAAAAGCAATGGTTCACATTATGATCACAGCCATTACATTTCCATTTTGATTTCTCTTTCAGAACAGAAGATAATGTCTTTTCTGAAAATGAATGAATTGCACACAATTGAAGCCAAGTCACAAACCAGTTAAAGAAGGCATCTTAACATTTCAGCCAAATTAGAGTTTTTTGCATGAAATGTGTCAGGCTGTAACATTACACAGTTAAGTGTGCCTAAAAATGCACTGAAATCCATATGCTTTTAGATGCCAAGGGGATACACAACTACCACCACTCTAGATTCCTTCCCTCCATTTTCCATGTATAGGTCAGGACAAACACAGCACCAATGATATGGGAACAGAGAGGCAGACATTATGAAGAAAACAAGCAGAGACATGGCTGGATACCCACTTCTGCGAATGACTGGGGCTGCACAATGCATTCCTTAGTCCGTCAAGTTTGTGATATTGTGAATGTTGCCAACACAAGACAGGATGATATTTTTTAAAAAAATAAAAATAAAATCAAATGTACCTCTCACTCATCAACATCATACTTCACTTAATGAGGTTTCACTCATGATTACTGGTCACTGTAAAGCAAGGCAATCACAATTTACTTGCCATCAGGCTCCTGATTTCATACACTTCCAGCTACTTATGCACACTAGCTAAAGCTGAGTTAATTAAAGAACATTTCCCAGTGGGCTGCTGGTGCTTGCTGCTAAGTCAAACCTATAAAGTACAAATTCTCATTCAATAAAGAGGTTGTAAGCTTGAGTATGTGAACCTCTGCTTTCTAGAGGCACTTCAGAAAGCACTAAGTTGCTGTCACCATTCCTGGAAAATGGAACAACACAAGTCTCAGGAAGACCCATGGAGTACCAATCTCCTAGGTGGACCTGATCTTCCAGTTACCAGAGGGACCGGAAAAGAATGTGCACTGCAGAAGCACCCATGGGCCCCAGTCACACTGGGGGAAATAGGAGCGGCCAAAGTGCGGCTTTTTTGAGCCGCGCCAAGGGACGTGCGGCGGTGGGATCAGACAGATCCCCCCAGCCGCCGCGCAGGTCCTCCCTGGCACGATCAGATGCCGGGAGGAAGCCACGGACCGGAGGGCGAGGTCAGCCCACTGCGCATGCATGTGCATGCGCAGTTCGGCAGGACCTCACATGCTGCAGGAGGGACGGGCGCGCTGGTGATCAGACGGCCGTCCCTGCAGCAGATTTTCAGGTAGGTAGTAGTGTTTTCTAGGGGTTTTTTTGATGCAGTTTCGCCCGGAAGGGATGGATCGGGGACGGGTGCATGCCGCTTCCCAGATGTTGCCATGATCGCACCCGCTTGATGCGCCCCCGATCCGTCCCTCTTGCATGGCAAATCCTCCCGTGTGACCGAGGCCATGGGTTAAAGTAGTAGTGACAGAAGGGTCCCAAGACAATGGGGTGGATCCTACCACTCCACAGAACAGTTAGTTCTTTAATCTATTTACACCCCATCTTTACTGCTGGATCAAGTTTGAAGCCTTCCTCCAGTCCAAGACTTCCTCCAAATCATCACTTTCTATGTTTGCAATTGGAGGCACGAATGTTCTCCCTCCCCTTTTATTATGAAAAAACATCCTTTGCATTTCCCAACCCCCTCTATTCAGAGAATCTGACTAGTTATTTCAATTATATGTTGAATATAGCTGCCTCTCCCCTCCTTTTTTGCTTTCAGTGCTCATGACTGTTGAGAGATCCAGGTGGGCAGCCAGGTTGGTCTGAAGCAACAGAACAAAGTTTGAGTCCCGTGGCACCTTTAAGACCAATCAAGTTTAAATCTGGGTATAAGCTGTCATGCACACGTCTCTGAAAAAGTTTGCATGCGCACAAAAACTTATACCCAGAATTAAACTTCATTGGTCTTAAAGGTGCCACGGGACTCAGATGTTGCATGGTTGTTGAGCTCCTTGGTGTGTCCTCACAGCACAAAGTCATACCTTTTTCTTGGGGTTTTCTGCCATCTCGTTTCATCCTTTGCCATATCCCCATGACCTCTGGTGGTGGCTGCTGCTAGCTCCTCCACCCTTACCTGGACCACGTCCCAACAGAAATTTCTCAGGCTTCATGCTAATGTTTCCCCACTTAAAGCACCAGTACAGATATGGTTCTAGGCTCATGTCAGGCTCTTTTCCCAAATCGACTTCTCCTCAAAACCAGCTTCACAGTTTCAACTCTCTACAACTATGAACCAGTTCACCACAGCAGATGGCCAATGCAACAGGGTACATGAAGGAATCTGGCTCCTGAGCAAAAAGCAGGGGAACAGCAAGTTTTCAGTCAACGACATTAGTGCCTCATGCTTGCTTCTGAAGCTCCAATTTAATTGCTATTGGCTTCTGTGGGGGAAAAAGCTTAATACTCATTGATGTTACACTCAAGATGATGTAGTTCAAATTTTATTTATTAATTCCACAGATTAGTGGTCCGCTGCCACTCCATTTACAACCTGGAACAAGCATTCCCCTAAAGCACACCTACAAAACACTGCACAGTCTATTATCATCTCTGCAAGGCATACTGTTATACAGTTTTACTGCACTTTTAACATTTTTGGTAAGAAATCATTACACCTTAAGATATTAATATATGCTTGTTATTACAGATTTCATACTCTATCATACAGTAAGCCACTCTTACTTTTATCGGCAGCTAATATTAAAAAGCCTCCTAAACCTCGGGTTATATGTACAATCGCAGCAATTGTTATTATTTTAAATTCTATACAATTCCTTTAAACTCCAGGCTCCTGATTCATAGAAGGATTAGTGAACTCCATGATTCCTCTAGAAACAGTTATATACTAGAGAAGATGTAGCTTCTAGGAAATAAGGGGAACATTTCGTTGTGTTACAAGAAAAAACAAAAATTATCTCAATTCTAATTTATCACCCTCCTTTTCTGCTATTGGTACACACTGCTGGTTCTCCTACAGCTTTTGTTTGGTCTCTTACTTTTGTGCAACACTCAAGTTGACTTGGGCCCAGTCAGAAATTTAGCTGAACAGAGGCTCTCAATTTTTATTGTGTGGGAAAAAAATATATTGTTCTGGCTGGTGTGGACTCCATGGTTATATATTGGTTTGGTGTGGACTCCATGGTTATATATTGTCTTATCAGTACAGTGGAGGATTTGAAATATACCTGTCTGTTCCTCCCATAATCAGGGAAGAATTTTCTAACTGGTTAAATATGAGACATGGACTTTTACATGAGGGGGAAAAAACCCTATAAAAAAGACTGAGGAAGCCCACTGGATTCATGATTGCTTAACAAAGGTTAACATTATATGTTTTGACTACAAAAGGATGAGGTGACATTAAGAATTATTTGCCCTTGAAATGTCACTGCATTTCCCTGCACCTAAGGGAGCATCATGCCATTGAGCTGATCAGGTAAAACGAAGCTGACAGATTTAGAGCAAGGACAAAAACAAGAAGTGCAGGAATATGCTGTCTATCATCCAACATAGCCAATTAGAAGATTTTTTGAATTCAAGATAATTCTATCCCATTGATGGCAGACATGAAAATCTACTTAAATCCAAGTTCATGTAGCAGGCTGCTTGACTGCAAAACTAATTCCTATGAGACATCTGAGAGGGACAATACTAAGATTGTAACTGCATCAGATCCTCACGGTGGGGGGGGGATGTGAATCAAGGACTGAATTTTTTCTTTAAAATGTAGTAAATTCTTTAGTGCATTCCAGATAACAAAATTCAGAGCAAACAGTCAAAGTCTGGAATGCTGAAATATACAAGTGCCATTACAGTACCTTTACAAAGTTGTGTGCCTTCCCCTACCCCACCCCAGAATAAGCATATAAAAAAGTTACAGGCTGGTTCACAATGACTTTCAGTATACTGTTATTAAAATCTGCTGATGTTAAATCAAAAAATATTTTACTATTTACATGTACACCGTATAAACCTTAAATATAAGAATATGCCTATTTTAGGAAGCTTTAAAAGACTTCAGGGAGATTGGCCCATCGTGTAATGCAGAAGAACCGTTTTGGGTCTTCACACTAAGAGATTTGCAAGTATTTCACAGTACGGTCGCTAGTGCTTCAGCAGAGGATATTTTGCACCTCCCATCCTGGATGAGAACCTTCCATCAAAAGGCACCGGTTTTAGTCCCAGTATATTTAATTTTGTTAGCGCAGACTCCAAGCAGCTCAGGGCACTCTACTTGCTCTTGTGCAATCTGATTGCATCGCCAAATCAGGCTGTAATTAATTTCCTCTGTGATCACACTATCTTGCTTGTAATCTGGGTGGTTCGCAATGAACTCTCGCATCCATCGAGCAGCTGTCATTAGTTCTCCTAAGGAAGGGGAAAAGGTCACAGCAGAAATTCATGTTTTCTCATGCACTGCATATGAAGACAATCCTTTCCATTTGGTTTGTATTCAAAGCCTAACGGAGGCTTACAAGGTTGTCTTACAACTCCAATGCCAAATGTAAACTCTGAGTCCACATGGCTGGTCTCCGCATTCAATGCAAAGCATGGAAGAAGAGAGCTCACCAGGCCACTGCTAAATGCTTCCTTAAATTTTATTTATTCACTTCATTTATACCTGGCTTTTCTCCCCAGTGGGGACTCAAAGCAACTTACATTGTTTTCCCTCCTCCATTTTACCCTCACAACAACCTTGTGAAGGTTAAGCCGAGAGTGTGTGACTGGCCCAAGGTCACCCAGTAAGTTTCCATGGCAGATTCAAACATGGGTCTCCCAAATACCCTAGTTGAGCACTCTAACCACCAGACCACACTGGATCTTGTTCAACTATCTTTGTTTATCCTAAGCAACACTTATACGTTTTCATACCTGATGCTCTCTTCTTTATGAGTTTTAAGTAATTCAGAATGCTGCATCTTGTATCCACATCCACTTCCATGTTTTCAAGGTAAGAGTTTAAAATAGGAATTAAGCCAGGAAACACACCTTCCTGTTTAAAAAAAAAAGAAAAAAGCCAATGGTTCGTTTGCTTTAGATTAATCATTACCCCCCCCCCCAATTTTAAGATTCACAAGTCCTGCTGTAACACCTTAAGACAATTGGTTTGAATCCTCTCTGAAGATGGTGTCAAAAGGGAAAAAAATTAATTTAGACACTACTTTACAACACAAATGTTTCATTTTAGTGACTAAAAACAATCAAACCTTGATGAGGTGGATTGAGGAGTAACAGCCCCTCATCTCCTTAGCTAAGGGAAGATCATATCAAAAGGGAAAGAAAACATTGCTTTTCTGCCTGCTTTCACTGCAGTTAGCCTCCAGCCACATGAAATCAGCAACAGGAAAGCTGAAGCAGCAGCTTGAATGCTGCCCTACTGATACGTCAAATTAAGGGGTGGAGACCTCAGTGAAAGCAGTTGGGATGACTGCACCAGGACACGAGCGGTCAGGGAAAAGGTTTTGTGCATGCACACACTCACCTAACTGTGTGGCTGTTACGGGTTAATTACTGCTCTGCCCAAATGAGAAGCCATTCTCACCTTGCCATTGATTATCGTATCAATGCTCATTAAGGTATACTCTTCCACATCTGTTTCTGTACCATTCTGAGCTGGGCCACATCCATCGACTACAGGATTGCCACCTTTTCAAAGAAAAAAAAGATGGGGGAGGGAACCAGACAAGGTAATTAGTTTTTTCATGTCTTTACACTTGGTGTCCATGAAATCAGACTACAAACAAGCAACAGCATACCTTTACTGATATCTTTCCTGAAATAAAACATGCCCTGCCGGACGGCATCCCGTTTCTGAGCTTCTTTCATGTTTTCATCCACCTAATAAAGGGAGAGGGGGGGAAGGGGGAAAAGGTTAAACAGGATTCCAGGGAAGTTTGCCGTTGAGGTCAGTGGGTTTTTGAAATCGTGTTTCATGGGGCTTTCTTATTGCAGCTGAATTCCTGCGCGCAATCACATAGGCAGATATATAACCACTTGAATTAGGATGAATCAGACTGTCTGTATAGTGAGGCAGCAAACCACCGCCATGATCACACCTGTGCTCCTCCAGTTGCTCTTAAGGAGAACAGCTGGCAATTCACACTGGCTTCTTGCCACAGTTGTGCATTTGTGTATGATATCACATGAAAGTCTTTCGAGATCTCTTACTAAAGTAAAGAGATAGGAACCTAACACATCCTGCTTAGAGAATTTTTTTTTTTAAAAAAGAGAGAGACTATTGTTCACCACAGAACTGGAATGCTTCTCTCTAGTGGGACAGATAACACGTAACTGGCTGATAACTGTTCTATCATGCAGATCAGTGGTTTTCACACTGTTTTGGGAAACCCTGACATTCCCGGGAAGCTTATCACACGTTTCCTCAAGTGCAAGAGTTAGTAATACCTTTGGCAACATGCAGCTGCAAGGGAACACTGAAGTAGGATGGAAAATTACGCAAACAATAACTTCGTCTGCAGCTATGTTACAGCATTGGGTTCTTCCCATTCTCCTGGTCCATCTGTATTATGCAACATGCTAAAACCCAGGGCCTCGACTTTTTGCTTATACTCTTTAAAATACATTGGTTTTATATTATTTTTGTTTTTAAATATGCTTATAAATGGAGTTTCAATGGACTCCTTGTTGGAAATGGCTTTATTTTTACTGTAGTAATGTGATTTATTGTCTTCTTGTGACGTGCCCCAAGGGTCCTTTTTATATGATATGGGCAGGATGTTAACATTGATAACAAATAAGATTTCATACATGTTCAGCAAATATAAGGTCCAAGCGAAAGTCTACGACATTCCCTCGAGTTCTTTGTGAGACACAGGAACTGATTTGGAAAGGATGCCATGAAGGTTTGAAAACCACTGATTTTTAAACTACATTACTAACTGAGAAAGTCAGCTTTTCCTTTCATTTTGTAAAAGTGCACTCATTTACGTTGGAAATTAGGGGTGTGAATTCGGGAATCCCGAGCCGAAAAAAAGATATCCGAAACCCCCCTGAAAAAATTCGGATTGTTTCCGGCATTTTTTGGCATTGCCGAAAAACGGCCTCTTTTTTTAAAAAAAAGGTTAAAGGGGTCAGGAAACAGTGTTTTTCCGCCATTTCCCCCTCTTTCCCATCTCTTGCTCCTATTTCCAGGTGGGAGGGGGGAAGAGGGAAATTCAGACAGCCAATCACTGCAATGCATTTGCAACTTTTTGCAAGGCTGTTATTGCTGCTGACAGCCTAACTACTAGCTTGCTCCTTTCCCAAGGAAGGCGCACTGGTGGCCAATAGGATTTTGGCATCTGCTCTCTGGCCAATCACAGAAGGTTGTTCCTTTTGAAATCCTTCTGTGTATGCCCAGAGAGCATAAAAGGAGACAGTCTCTGCCAGGCTGACTTCATTACTGTTCCTGCTGCTGGTGGTGAGAGAGAGAGAGAGATTGAGATTGGCTTGGAGATTGTGTGTGGCTGGCTTCTGCTGCCCCTGCTCTTTGAGCCTCTCCTCCTTTCTTCCCAGTTCTGCCTGGCCTGCCTAGTTAGGGTTGCCAAATGTCTTTTGGACGGGAGTGGGGGGCTCACGGCCGGCGTCTTAGGCGTGCGGGCGTGCCACGTGCGCGTCACCTGGAAGTGACATCGCACGCTGGGGGCGGGGCCACGCCATTTGAGGGGAAAACAAAGAGTTTTCCCCTCAAATGGCAGCCTTACTTCCCCCCCCCCCCACCAAAGTGCAGGAATACAGCAGAGCATCCTGGCACTACTGCGACCTCTGGCCAGAGTGGTGCCATGAAGAAGCCATGCCTGGCTTTCTTCCCTGTTAAAAAGGATGCTCCTGGGGTAGTCCCAGCAGAGGTGCCTGTAGGTGCTGGCACTGGGCAGGGGTCTGCTGCTCAGGCAGTCCCTCCTCCAGCCATTGCTGCTGAGACTAAGTGGCAGGAGAAGGGACAACAAGACACTCTGTTTTCAGGGCTCACTCCAAGGAATAAGAAGGTTCTGGAGGAACTGGAGGAGGAGCTGGCTGGCCAGCCCACTCCTCCGGTGTCTCTAGGCTCCAGCAGGCCTCTTGAGGGACAGGAGGAGAGGCTGGGAGAGGAGGAAGGGGAAGAGATGGAGGTGGTGCACCCAAAGCAACAGCCATCTCAACCCCTTTCCCCTGCTCAGCCATCTCTTCCTGCCCCCCAAGGACACAATGTGTCTGGCCTGAGCTCCTCACAGGAGGCAGCTCTGGGGATGCCCATGGCTGCTGGTCAGCGTGGGTGCCCCTTCACCTCTAATGTCTGGAACCACTTCTGGGTGACAGAGGATCCCCACTTTGCACAGTGCCAGCTGTGTAGGGCCCGGCTAAGTCGAGGGAAGAACATCACCCATCTCTTGACCTCTGGGCTGCGGAACCATCTGAACAAGCACCACCAGGTGGTGCTTCTTCAGGGGGAGAGACAGGCTGCTGCTGGGGTGCCCAGGCGGCCACCACCAGCCAGCCAGGAGGTGAGTCGTCCTGCGACCACCTCCAGTGCTCTCTCTGCACGTTTCGCGGTAGGGACAGTGCAGGCATGCCAAGCATCTCTGATGGAGATGTTTGGCGACATTGGGGGGGGGGGGGGGGGGGGAAGCAACAGACCAGCAAGAGGGTACTCGCCTCATTGCTGAGATGGTTGCTCTAGATGGGCGACCCTTCTCCACAGTCGAAGATGTCGGATTCTGCAGGCTGTTCCAGGATGCCTATCCCTGGTACACACACCCTGCTCGCACTACGCCGAGCAGGACTATGATGCCCTCATTGTACAGGGCTGCCAGGGACCACGTGAAGGCACACTTGTTCCACGCTTGTGGGAGATATGTTCACTTCACGTCCGACATCTGGACCTCCTGTCAGGTGCACGATTTGTACCTTTCGGTGACTACGTACCAGTGGGAACCCAGCGAAGTTTTGGGTGGGGGAGAGGAAACCAGTGACAGGCAGGGTCAGGGCCACTGGGCTGGCTACCATAAGGCTCTGCTTCACATCGAGTAGCTTGATGGGTCGCACATGGCGGACAACATATTGGCCACCATCCAGAGACAGTTAGTGGGGTGGGTAGGCAGGGACGTCGCCGAGGGCTTCATGGTGACCGATGGTGGCCAGAGCCTTAGGGCAGTGGCAGAGCAACTGGGCCTGACGTGCATTTACTGTGCGACCCACCTGATTCACCTCATATGAAGGATGCTCTGGGGTTGGGTTCTGGGCAGAAGCCCAATCTGGATGCTGCGACTCGTGATTTCCGGCATCTCCTCCCGAAATGCCGGTACATCGCGAGTCACTTTTCTCGCAGTACGAAGGACCTCTATCTGCTGCGCGAGAAGCAGGCGCTGGTAGGTGTGTCGGAGCACCACCTGCTAGGCGACATTCCCACTTGCTGGAACTCCACCTGCGTCATGCTTGAATGCTTGGTGGAGCAGGAGAGCACCCTGACTGCCCTGATCTCTGAGAGTGGGGTCATTCGGAAAGAGAGCCGGCTCAACCGCGAGGAGTGGTTGACCATCTCTCAGACTGTGATAGTTCTTAAGCCCTTTAAGAGCTACACAGAGATGCTCTCGTCTGACATGGCAAGTCTGGCTCTGTTCATCCCCAAGGTCCACACGGCCTGTGAGGACTTGGCCTCATTTCTGGAGCCAGCTGCAGGACGTGCAGACATGGTTACAGCGGTGTGCTCGCTGGTGAGAAGGCTGCAAAGCAGAATGGAAAAGTGCTTTCAGTCTATCCTCCGCCAGAAGGTCTACATGATGGCAACTATGTGTGACCCACGCATCAAGGGCAAGATCGCTGAGCAGGCCAACAAGTTCACTAAATGGAGACATCCTCTCTGAGTAAGTTGAGTGCATGCGGGCCAAGAGGGTCACATTGTCACGAGCTGAGGAAGGGGGGGGTGCCAGCAGCTCCACTGCTGTCCATCCCCCACCCCCACTAGGCAGCGTCCCCCCCAAGGCTCCCACCGTGATGACTGTTGAGATGGCAGTCATCGGGTGGATACTTGGCCCCTCTCCTGGGAGCGGCAGGTGCATGAGAGAGGACACGGTGGCTGCGATGGTGAGGGAGTACCTTGAGGATCCCTACAAGCAGCAGGCGACATGTCCACTGAGCAACTGGGCCATAAAGGAGGCGGTCTGGCTGGACCTGTATAAAGTGGCCCAGAAGCTCCTCTCATGCACTCCAACGAGCGTGCAGAGTGAGCACGTTTTTTCCCATATGGGTGACATTGTCTGCTCGCATCGCTCACACCTGCTCCCCTGCACATTTGAGCAGTTGGTCTTCCTGAAGGTCAGCTTGCCACTGTTTGGTTTCTCGGTCCTAGACTTTGAGGGTGGTTGAAGTGAGCACGCATACTTGTGCCTGCAATCCCCTCTTGGTCTGTGCTGGGAAGTTGGGTTACACTTAAAACTAGAGAGGCTAGGGAGAAGTAGAAGCCAGGGCCATTAGCATTTTGATTGGCAGAAATGCCTCCACAGAACCCTGGTAGCCAGGGTGATGTTGAGGATGGTGCGTGTATGCACCCAAGTTACACTGCCAGCCACCCCAAATCAAAATTGCATGCTGAAATTGAAACAGCAGCACAAAAATTGTTTTCCATTTGAACAAGGTAGAATAGGGTAGATGCCAAGCAGCCAGAAACCAGCAGCACCCACAGCCCCATGTAATAAATGTAAATGTATGTTGTGTGCAATGCTCCCTCTAAGCTGTGGAGTCTTGTGAGCTAAAATTCTACTTTTTGAGCTACTGGAGTGAGTGATTTGGCTACTGCCTAAAGTAGTTTGCTCTGGAGCCATCCTTCCTGAGCTAACACAAAAATTTGTGAGCTGGAGGCTAAA